TGATCCTCAGTGCTGAGCCATCGCTCCAGCCCCCTCCAAGATCTTCTCTCTCCCTCTCTCCCTCTCTCCCTCTCTCCCTCTGTCCCTCTCTCCCTCTGTCCCTCTCTCCCCTCTCTCTGTCCTCCCTCCTTCCTTCTTTCCTTTCTTCCTCTCTTTTTATCCCTAGATGAAAACACACAGTCTCAGGCTGGAGAGACAGCCCAGCAGATTAGACTAGATGCCTTCCCAGAGGGCTCATTTGGATTCCCAGCACCTCCACAATGACCCATAACTGTCTATAACTCCAGTTCTAGGGCATCCAGCACCCTCTTCTAGCCTCCCAGGACACCAGGCACTCGTGTGTATACAGACAAACATACAAGCAAAGCAGCCATCCACACAAAATAACAGTAAATAAATCTTAAAGCCACATATAGTCATAGGGGAGTGACATGTCTCTGGCTCCAAGCCTCAGCCATCACGAGTTCAGAATGAGCTCAGATGGAGGAGAGAACGGGTCAAGGAAGAATGACAAGAGCAGCAGAAAGCTCTGGAAGACGCTGCATAGCTCTCGAGCCCAGCGCTGTCCGACACACTTTCCTTTGGTTATGGGAGAGCTCCGTGAACGGATTGCAGAGCCGCACTAGCCAAAGCTGGCCACTGCTGTACTTCGAGTGACAGGTGTGATGAAGGACACAGTTTGTTCTGTTTTTTATTTTGAGGTTTCTTCCACCCCACCTTCACCCCCATCCATCCCATGTCTGTAACTCAGGCTGACCCAGAGCTCGCAGTCTCCGGCATCAACTTCCCATATGCAGGAGTTACACCATCAAGCACTTCTAGAAATCACCCTTTTTTCCTCTTTCTTGAGCTTGCTGTGGAGACCAGGCTGACCACAAACTCACAGAGATCCTGGAACTAAGGGCATATGCCACCATGCACGCTTGTTTGTTTGTTTTTCTTTTTTGGTTTTTCAAGACAGGTTTCTCTGTGTAGTCCTGGCTGTCCTGGAACTCACTCTGTAGACCAGGCTGGCCTTGAACTCAGAAATCTACCTACCTCTGCCTCCCAAGTGCTGGGATTAAAGGCGTGTGCCACCACTGCCCAGCACAACTTTTTTTAAAATTACATTTATTTGTTTGTTTGTTTATGTGCATGCACTAGCCACAGTACATATGTGAAGGCCAGAGAAACAACAACCCTTGGGAGTAATCCCACCATCCGGTCCCTGGCGGCAGCAAATGCCTTTCTTTATCTGCTGAGCCATCTCACACACTCGTTTTACTTCTTCTATTAATTTACTTCTTCTATTTAAGTTTTAATAGATACCAACCATTACTGGCTCATCTGAGATAGCTTGAGCCCTGGATTCAATCTGGTGACTGGCTTTGTGTCACTCATGCTGCAGAGACAGATGAGGGAGGAGACATCTGTTTGTAGCCAGGAGCTCTGAAGTTACTTTGTTTACATAACCCAGCTAGGGCCACACTTTCGCCTACACAGTTTGATGCCTGTCAGATGAAGTAGAGAACAGGCAGGCTCCTGTTGCCTTGGGGTACCAGTCAGAATGGTTCCTCTGTCTAGCTGCCTCCTGAGACAATCTGTCCCTGGAGAGTTGGTACCCAGTGTCAAGTCAAAGAGACTGAACTGTCTCTGTCCTCCGGATTTGCTTTTGGCCTCGTTCAGGATCCTTTTAGGGTGGAGTGTACATGACGGATCCCACTTGGTCCCCAAGGGCTTTACGGGGAATCCGTAAATATGTGTTGCAACGAATAAACAAGGGGCAGAGCCAAGGCAGGGAGAGGCTTCTGGTAACAGGGAGCCTGGCAAGGGAGGGGCTCTTACTCATTTCTTTTGACCATTTAGGCAAATGCCCTCAAGCCTGGCAGTGCCCAGGGATCAAAAGGAACAATTTGTTTTTTGAAAGTGTAGACCTCACTCTCTGCTCTTCTGATACGTGTTTAATGAATGGCCAGGGGTCAAGAATTGTCATTTTTGGTTGGGTACCATGGTCTTTGATCCCAGCACTTGGGGAGCAAAGACAGACAGACCTCTGAGTTCAAGGCCAGCCTGGCCTACAGAGTGAGTGCCAGGGCAGCCAGAGTTACACAGAGAAACCCTGTCTCAAAATACCAAAAAAAACCCAAAAAAACAAAACAAAAAAACCCTCTTTTCCTCTTGGTCTCTTGTTTCTCTCTCACTCTTCCTTCTTGCTCATGCTCTGTCCCCTCGCCCTTCCCCCTTCTCTCCCCATTCCCTTCCCCCCTCACCATGTGCTCGGCCCCTACTCCTCTACTTTTCTTCTCCTCTACTTCTCTCTCTCTCTGCCTTTTTCTGCCTATACTGCCCTCTTAACTACCCTCCCTATGCCCTGAATAAACTCTACTCCATATAAAAAAAAAACCTAATGTTTTAAAAATTGTGATTTTTTTTTTTTTTTTTTACAAAGATCGATCCTTCCTAGCCAAAATCTGATGCTAATAAAAATGTAGAAAAATACTGATTCAGGGTGAGGCTAGGAAGGCAGGTAGGTTTTGTAGACGGAAAGAGGTTGCCCCAAAGGGAATTCAGAAGTTGAGAGAAGTTTAGATACATAGGCATCTGTGCTGCTGCGTGTTTTCTCTTGCCTTGCAGAAGGAAAGGGGAACTGAAGCCCATGCCCAGCCTGTCCTCAGTCAGCGGCTAGAAAGTTTGACCTAGCAAAAGCCTCAATCCCAGCTGGTCCAGAACCCTAGGTGGAAGACACAGAAGAATCCTAGCAGGACCTGGAGGGGCAAACTATAAAAACCCCACACATTGGGGCTGGAGAGATGGCTCAGCAGTTAAGAGCACTGGCTGTTCTTTCAGAGGACCCAGGATCAATTCCTGGACCACATGGCAGCTCACAACTGTGACTCCAGTCCAGGGGATCTGGAACCCTCACACAGACATGAATATGTGATGGATACATGAAGGCAAAACTACTAAGGATTGCTGGGCGGTGGTGGCGCACACCTTTAATCTCAGCACTTGGGAGGCAGAGGCAGGCGGACCTCTGAGTTCCAGGCCAGCCTGGTCTACAGAGTGAGTTCCAGGACAGCCAGGACTACACAGAGAAACCCTGTCTTGAAACACAAAAACAAAAAACACTAAGGATGATGGATGAAGGTGTGCGCGCTGAGCTATCTCACCTGAGCATGCATATATATATATATATATATATATATATATATATATCCCACCCATGTGTCTCCTGGGAGCCATCTCCAGCTGGCCTCACTTCTCTAAAGCCAAACATCTCAGTCATTTGCTCCACACTTCCTGTTTGGTGCTTGTTTCTTGATTGTCACTCTCCAGTTTGTAGCTGTGCAAGTGTGGGTGTAGGAGATGGGCTGGGGACTTATACTTCTCTGCCTTTTCCTTCTGAGCTGGGAGGGCTTTCACTTCCTCCCCAGACTCCCAGTTCTGCCTTCTAAAGGCTGTTCGGGCCAGAAGACACCCCCACCCTTGGATGTCCTCTCTGAACCACAGGAAAACAGAACTCACTGTCTCCAAAGTGCCTTGCAGCTCCTTAGGAACAAAGGGAAGTAGTGGTGGGGTGCTCTAGGGTGTGCTGAGTAGTAACTGAGACAGGCAGAGGGGCCCACTCCCGCTCTCCCAAGATGGACGGGAAGGCCTCAGTCCTGCCTGGCACCATGAAAAGCTAAGTGGGGGTCTTCTCGTTCATCAGAGTCTTCTGCCCCAGAATCCCACCAGATAGGAGTGATGCTCAGCCTGCCTCAGATGCCCTCAGCTCTGCCCACTGGGCACCTACCACAGGGGAACACTGAGCCACAGAGCGGCTAGGGATCTAGCAGCTGGGCCTGACAGCTAGCTTCCCACTGTACCTCTCTGAGCCTCAGGATCCTTGCAAAGCTTTATGTCAATCCAGTAGAGGATTAAAAATATTTGCAAAATACAGGGTGGTGGTTAATACCCAAAGTCCCAGCGCTCAAGAGATAGAGGCAGAAGAGGCACAAGTTTGAGGACAGTCTGGGTTATGTGAGACCCTGTCTAATAATGATAATGATAATAATAATAATAATAATAATAATAAAGAAAATATACACAGGGGTACCAAGCTGAACTTGAGGAATGCTGCCTTCCAGGCAGAAAGAAAGCCTGGAAGCCATTGTCTCCATGACCAGCACAGGATCAATCTTCCCAGTGTCCTTGGTCTCTCTCTATGTAGTCGAATAAGTCCTTAGCCCCTAAAATAACCCGTAGAGAAGCAGTTTCCCAGTTCCTCCAGAAGAGACCAGGCAGGCTCCTGGGCCTGAAGCCAGAGCCCACAGAGAGGCCCAAACCCACAAGGCAGAGTCCAGCGAAGGCAAACACAGTGCCCCTACCCTCCGCCTGGTCCACCTGCTAATCAGGGAGGGCTGGGGCAGGGGGCGGGGGCACAGTTCCAAGAGGTCCCACATCCTTTGCTGTCAAACTCACAGGACTGGGGTGGATGTGGGTGTTGGCATTCTGCATGCTAGGGCTAGTTGGCTAAAGGAGTAAGTATGTGAGGCGGGAACATCCGTGACTCAGAGCCCATGATGTCAGACCCTTCTCCGTCAGGTCACTGTCATTACACGCGGCACAAGATTTAGTAGAACTAAGGAGAGCCACACGAGGTGCCACAACTAAAGCAGAGAGAGCCAGTGGCACAAAGGACTCTTCAGAAGGGACTACTACTCCACTAGGGCGCGCCCTCTGGGTATCTCTTTTTGGAGCGACCCGGGATGCGGTTGAGTAAGACTGGGAACACTGGGAACCAGACACCAGAGTCAGGTTTCAGGAAAACACACTGTCCTATACTCAGACTTTAGGTAACTGTCCAGACACAGACAGGAGCACGCAGCGAAAGGCACTCGATGCAACAGGGGGCGCGCGAACCTCCACCGCGTCAGCACAGGTGGGTCAGCCCAGGCTGGCACCCAGTACCAGCGGGGCTCACTCTGCCGACGGAACCAGACAGTGTCACATTCCCCACGCCCGCTCCGGGTTCCTCTTACCCAGCGCGCGGCAGCTCCCGAGGACCAGCGCGACCGCGGGCGCGGCCAGCAGGGCGACCAGCAGCGTGCAGCCGACGGCCAGCATGCTTCCTTCTACGCGGGGCGGCGGGGCAGCTCCGCAGCCGGGGCCCGGACAGTCGCCGTTCCACACTCAGCTCGCACTGCGAGCGCTCGCCCCGGCGTGGCTCAGCTCGGTGGCGGCGCGACTTCCCTCTTGCACGTGACGCACAGCAGCGGGCCGTCCTGGCAACAGCGAAACATTTGAGGAACCGGGGCTGAAGCTCCTCTCGGCAGCCCCGGCTCCGGGTTACGAAAGAGGAGTAGGATGGCGCAATCGCCCAGCGCTCTGGGCCACCGGAGGGGGTTACTTCCTGCAGCCGCGCCACACCTGAGCTTCCAGGGACCCCCACAAGGGCCCCTCCCCAGGTTTTGACGCTGAGATAAGGGGAATTAGCCCCCTTCTCCCCTGCCTCCGCGCTTCTGTTTGGGTTTTGCTTTCTTGAGTACCAGCCAGTAGCTCTGGCTGTTAGAGGGCAGAGCAGTGTCCCCGGTGCTTACAGTAAACAAACAGGGAAACCGAAAAGACACTGATGTCTGTTTCGACACCAGAGATTGTGATTTAATTGGTCTAAGGGAAAACTTAGGCATCCAAAACCTGAGAAAAAGATTTCCTCTCACCTTCCAGCGGAGGAGCGCTCTTTGAAGGCTGCTGCAGAGGCAATGAAACCAGTGTGCACTTTTGAGTCTGGCACAGAGACACATGAGTTACCCTCCTCAAGATTGCTATCCCCAATCCGGAAGTCTCAGTTTTCTCACCTATTAGAGATTCATTTTTAAGCCCATGATGAAGATTCCTGGAAACACTCTCTATGTACCTGGACCCTAAGTACTCAACGAGAAGTCGGGCCTTGATTACCTACCCATCATGACTTGACTAGACAAAAAGAAACTGGTGCTTACTATTTACCAGAACCCACTAAGGTTCCCTTCCGAGCTATAGAGCTTGAAGCTACAGGGCAGCTTCCCATGCAAATGCGGAGGGAAAGAAACACACTGAAAACAAAATTTAAACGACGGACCCTGGACCTACATCAGTATGTTTTCATGTACTTTTCCATTTTGGGCTTCAGACTGATTAGAGTCCATGGGGCAACAGGAATGGGTGTGTTGTGGCCGAACCCCTAAATAAGACACGACCCCGTTTAAGCAACAACATTCAACATGCAGGCCTCAGACCTATGCATCCAGCGCCCTCTGTGTGAGCCACCCGTAAACAATGGCAGAACCAAACATGTACCCAGGACAATGGGACTGGTTTTGATGGCACTTGCTCAGCCATGCCTAAGGTCAGAAAGAAAGGCATGGCTGTCCCCCTCTCCCTGTAGTGGGGCAGGCACTTGGGAAGCAGAAACAAATGGGTAGCTGTGAGTCTAAGGCCTTGTCTAAAAGATAGATATTTTTTTCTCCTGCTATTTAAAGTGGGATTGCGGGTGAATGTGGTGGTACACACCTGTAATCCCAAAACTCTGGATGCGGACGCAAGAAGATCCAGAGTTCGAGGCAAGCATAGTGGAATTTGCCCTATCTCAGAAATAAAATTAATTTCCAACAGACTCCCATTGTGGTGCCTCCTTCCTTTCTGTGGTAAATGGAGACCTGAAAATAATTGCGGAGAGACAAGTTGCTGGCCTGAGACAGGAAGGTTACAGAAGGCTGCCAGCTCAGATAGAGTTCAATAAAGGAATGCTGCATTCGAGAGCAGGCATCTCAGACATGACCTGGCAACTGTGCTCAAGTGCCTTCCCCCTGTTTTGATCCTGGGGGGTGGGGATGGGGATGTTCTATAGTCAGATGGGTCTAGTTCCCATCCCAGGTCTATTGCTTGCTAGCTGTAGGATTTGGGCAAGTTATAGTTAATTTCTCTGTGTTGTTTAGATTTTTCTCAACCCTATTTTTTTTTAAAGATTTTACTTATTTTATGTATATAATGAGTACACTGTAGCTGTCTTCAGACCTTCCAGAAGAGGGCATCAGATCCCATTACAGATGGTTGTCAGCCACCATGTGGTTGCTGAGAATTGAACTCAGGACCTCTGGAAGAGCAATCAGTGCTCTTAACCGCTGAGCCATCTCTCCAGCCCAACCTTGATTTTAATAATGGTTCCTAAACACTTGTGGAGAGCTTTTGGGGCCACTTGGCAGGAATCTGACATTGGCCAATGACAAGGAAGTAAGTTCAGGCAGGAATCTAATTTTAGGCTAAAACAGGGAAGTAATTTCAGTCAGTTATCTAAATCTTAGGCTAGAACAAAGAAGTAGGCCTCAGGCATTGACTATGACTGTGGGCTAGGACATGGAAATAGGCTCAGATATTTTGGTCATCCTGACAACCCCTTAGAATCACAGGAGTGATTACAGGACTTTGCCTATTGTCTTGCTTGTTTCTTGACTATTTGCATCTATTGTATTGCTAGTTCCTCAACCTAGAACTGACCTAAATATTTGCATTAATTAAAATGGTATAAAAGCAGATTGGGGAAAAAAATAAACCTGCCCTCAGTCTGAAAACTGGGGTCATGCTACAATATTGTCTAATTGTCTTTTTTCTTCTTAGTCCTCATTCTTGCACTGGAGAACATGTTGACTGACTGGGCTGGTCTGGTCAAACACTTCAACCTCCCTTGTAGCCCACCACCCACCAGAGGTAGTGAGAAAGAAAGGTTATTAGGATACAGGGAAGTGGACCTGTTTTAGAAATTGTTCTTTAGGCGGGCAGTGGTGGTACACATGTTTAATCCCAGAACTTGGGAGGCAGAGGCAGGCGGATTTCTGAGTTCAAAGCCAGCCTGGTCTGCAGAGTGAGTTCCAGGATAGCCAGGACTACACAGAGAAACCCTGTCTCGAAAAACATTTTTTAAAAAAATTGTTCTTTAAAGCAAATCTCATTTGCATTGTCAGGAAATGAGCAGCCCAGTTCACAGGATTCAGCAGTAGCAGCTCGATCCACTCGCAAATACTTCATGAATATACTAGCAGTCCAATTCAGTAGTGTCGGGATAACAAACACAAATCAGCAGTGGTACAACCTAGCAGAAACAGCCAGGCCTCAGCGTAATCTGCACGAGTCAGCAGGAGTGATTAGACCAGGAGAAGTTCTTTGCCATGCCTCTCTCAACAAAGTGAAGATCATCGAAGAAGACCAAGAAGCATTGCGAAGCTAGCTATGCAAGCAAGCCTTTTTCACTGTCCACTGAGTCCTAGTTATACTCCCTCCAAATATCATGTGTTCTCAAATGTGTCTTGCCTCATCATGTGTCTTGCCTCAGCACGTGAGTCTGTCTTAGCAAAACTCCATGTGAGTCTATCAGCTGACAGCACTCTGCCAATCGGCCGAGTCCACAGAAGCAGCAAGAAGCCCTCAGAGCACCACCAGAAGTTTTTTGATACGTTTCCCTCTATGAAGTCACAACAAATGGAGCTCAACAATGCAATGTAAGGTGAACCAATACATACATGGAGTTAGAGAAGAATTTTTCATCCTTTTACGTGTCTGCCTTAGCAAAACATCCTTTCACCTGTGTCTGCTTAAGGAAAACACTCCTTCACGTCACGTGTTTGCCCCAGCAAAACACAATCCTGGGCTGGAGAGATGGCTCAGTGGTTAAGATCACTGACTTCTCTTCCAGAGGTCCTGAGTTCAATCCCCAGCAACCACATGATGACTCATAACCATCTGTAATGAGATCTGATGCCCTCTTCTGGTATATCTGAAGACTGTGATCATGTATTCATATATATATAAAATAAATAAATAAATCAGTAAAAAACAAAAACCACCATCCCACACAACTGACTTTCCAAAGAACCCATAAGTTTCTACTTTGTCTCTGAGCCTTTTACTGATTTATACAGTAAAAATTTATAATATACAAAGAATTAGTGTTGTGCTTCAAGTGCTGGTGTGATGGCTCCTCCCTTTAATCCCAGCAGTTGGGAGGCAGAAGCAGGCAGATCTCTATGAGTTCAAGGCCAGCCTGGGCTATATATAGAGTAAGTTCCAGGTCACCCAGGGCTACACAGAGAGACCACCTTCACTTTGCCCCCCTCTTTCCTGTACCAAAGCCTTGCATGTAGGTAAGTTTCTGCAATGATTTTTGTGGTTTCCCATCTCCATGCCTTATTCAAGCTAGTCCTTTGGCCAGGCCCTCCCTTCCCTTAGTCTTACACCCTACTCAGCCTTCACACTTGTCTCTGATAGGCATGGTGGTCAATGATTGTAAGTCTGGCACTCAGGAAGCTAAGGGGAAAACTTGGCAAGGTCCTGGCCAAGCAGGACAAGATCCTATTTTTAAAAAAAAAGCCAAGCGTAGATGTGAACACATGTATTTCCAATATCCAGGGAGGAGGAATAAGATTACTCCAAGTCTGAGTCCAGCCTGATCTACTTAGCAAGTTAAAAAAAAAAAAAAAAGCCAAGCATAGACTTGGCTATCTTCTCCAGAAAACTGAATGGTCTCTTCCCTCAATTCCAAGTTGCCTGTCATCCACAGGTTAACCTGGGTGTCAGATTCCTGTGTTCCTCCCAAATGCCACGTGACCTTGTTTACCACCCTGACTTCCCTGTCACTCTGAAGAATTCATCTCTCTATCCTCCTGCTGAGCAGGGCCCGACACATACTGAAGATCTAGATCTTAGGTAAGGAAAGAGATTCCTCGGGGCCCTGAGCAGTCTCTTTCCTCCTTCAAAGCTTCCTGAACTCTACACTTAGTGGAAGTTCAGTTTTCGAGCCAACATTCCAGGTTGTTATGACAAACACTGATAAGGAGAGAAAAAATCACACCTGTGCGTGTGAACTTTGCTGACAAGCCCCACAATCCTGCAACCTCCCACCCCAAGTCAGACTCCTGTTATCTGTCCCCAGGAATTATCAGCTCCTCCTGGGTGCCTGCCAACCTCAGGAAAAGACCCTCCTATTGGTGTAGCGGTGCATCAGATAAATCTCAACTTGGGAATGAAGACATCTGGCCTCCAGGAAGCATAAATGAACGGCAGGTGAGGCTAAAATACCCTGTGCAGGGAATTCA